GATAAATCCACTTTGCCCATTCAACAAAGAAGTCACCCGAAATCTCTCGCAATCCTTAACTCGCAACAATGACCTGACGAACTAATAATTAATTCAAAAGTTGTTGAAATTTCCTTCCCGGTGTGGCCACGCGACCGGCGTTTAATAATCTGATGAAACATTGATTCTAAATACTTTTACGTATCGGTATAAACACCAGATATAACTTCCAATGAATTTTACACTAACTGGATTTGAATTGATATAAATAATAAAACATAGAGTAATGTTAGAAGGCGGATTTTTATAACCAAGGCTCTGCTCACGCGTACAGGTACATTTTTTTTAATGTGAAAAGTTATTAAGCGAGCAGGTGGTTCCCCTGATGTTAAGTGAATACCACTGCCCACGGACATCTGCTACACCCGAGGGTTTGCAGATGCGTTGGCAACCTTTTTGGAAATTGGGCTCCGGCCACCTCACTCACCAGTTGAAACGCGAAAGTATTATACTTTCATTTTACGCCGGTCTTCTGTGAGGTCGTGATACTTACCCGTACGAGCCTGCCCATTCGTGCAACAGCCGAGGCTGCTGCGTGGCCCTACTACAATTAAACATATCCTTATTACATTTAAGCAGACAAATTTACTGTAAACCTGTCCACTTAAGGAAATAAAAAAAACACGGAGCGATGAGCCTTGGGAAGGTTCTAAGTCTCAGTATGGAGTATTATGTATGGACTACTGCTGGCTCATGATAATGGCGATGACAACAATTCATTTTGTTGTCGCCGCTTTCTTCCTTCCAGCCCATTCCCTATAAGTCCGTCATAACCTCCCGTTAAAGTCTCGTTCATAACATTGTTTTAATAGACAACGTCTAGGTTTAGCAGACGATGAAAGATTAACACACAATTGAGTTCCAAGGACGTTTCAGTTGCCCACGTGATACTTCAGTTTAGATGCATCATAAAGCTGTCTTCCGTATAACATCGGATCAATTATTTTGTAACGTGTGTGAGTTCTGTACAAAATTGAACGTATCGAATTATTGTTAGGTATTTTGCATCATTGCGTAAACTGACATCATAAATGTAAGCGTTTATTAACTTTGCTTTGCTTATTTGTGCATTGTAAATAAATGATTGGCGGATAAAAGAATCGATTTAAGTTAATGCGCCATTTCGCAACTGTATACGGAACAGTCGATTGTAATGATTTATTGGTAAGAAACGTATCAGTCCATTTTTTATTTCATTGTTAATACTTTTAAAAATGAATTCGCAAAACGTGTGTCTCCTATTACGTAGAAAATTCCCGAGCATCATTACTAATGCTGGGATTTAGTAATGCCACCGTCTCGTGGGATAATAAAGTAGCGTACTCCAGATACTTGTCAAATTCTTACAGGGCTACAAACGAAAGAATATTTTCAAATTCAAATTTCATATTTAAATAAAATTTTTATTCAATGTTTTTTATTACTTATTGACCGTCAAAACGCTACCAACCAACGGTACGGGAAAGAAAAGCCACTGTCCTGAGAAGAACCGGCGAAAGAAACTTTAAATCTTAAAAACCAACTTCGACGCCCACTTAGGGGCCCCAAATATACGATCCGAGGAAGGTTTGAAATAAAACAATCCAATTCAAAAACGCCCCTGATTGGAATAATGCCCTCGCAATTATTAAATTGAAAACCATGTACCCTCTCGACAATGGAAAAATAGAGGGTTGACAGAATGGGAAAAGTTCGCTTATAGAAGTACAAGTGAACGCGCCCGTCTAAGTACATCGCTTAATCGAAAAGTCACTGCACACAATTAGCCCACAGCATTGTTAATCTAAATGTCGTTGATATAATAACTAAAAGAATAAGGCATTCAAAAAGCATGTAATCTAAGAAAAATAAAAAAATCGATATCACAAACAAGATTGCTCATATTTCATTGCTTTTATAATATATCTCTTTTTACTGTGTACGATTGCAATGATAATAATCCTTCACATTCCTTTAAAACTCATACGATTTATTTACTCGTTATCAAAGTTTTATTGTTTTTATTATTTTCTTAGCAGTAGTAATATTTAGGCGTCTATACGGTCAATTAGTAGGATAAGTTAAAACTATAGGTTTTACCGATTACAAACGTTCTATAGCTATTAAATAGATTACGGAATATGTTATAATATACAAGTGTTTTATTTTTTTTTTTTATTCTTTATTGAACCTTCAAAAAAGATGTTATAAGGGACTTAATGCCTTATGTATTACTATTCCATATTCAACGACGTAAAACATTTATCAAGTTATAAATAAATTTATTAAAACATAGGAAAAGGTAGAGTCAAGTATCAGGCAATTGACACTTGAAAAGATCGCTACCAAATCATCTCAATGGATTCTCCGCTACTTCCGTATACAACTAACGCCACCTATCCCCGTTGAAAATGAAACTATCTTTGCGCTAATAAAAAGCGTTATAAATTAAAAAACGACGACCTCATAATAATATACGGATGCTATTTAAAAATAAAGTCTGTTTGAAGTGCATTATAAAATCGTTATAAATACAGGGTACACTTCAGGACCAAGCTAGTGCCAGTAGTTTGGTACCAGTGCTCTATAGTTACCGACGGCGTATAAGTCCTTCGACAAAACAACGCTCGCTTAACGGCCGGTTTCAATATTCTATCTGTAGATTTGGTCACTAGCGATAGGTATTTGAAATTAGCTCCATGATACTTACGTCATAATTCTACGTCCGGTAACCAAAACTACAGATACCTAGATAGAACATTGAAAGCAGCCGTAAGCCAACCGCACCGCACTCCGACGGCGTACACAACATATTCTATGATGTTTCAATACCAATGAAATCACTTCAAAATACCTTAAAAATCCTTATAGTATACACAATCTTCTTTCCATTTTTGCACTGAATAAATGACTCTTCTTATAATTTCTATATGGTAGTTGTATTACATATTTCCAAATTCAAAGTTCAGACTAGAGCCATGTGTATAGAATCTATAAATATGTTTTATAAAATAACAACATATCTTAAACATCAGAAGGTCTCTCAAAAACTGTTTAATACAAGTTTAACACTGTTAGGTAAGCAACACTCGGCAGGAATCAAATTTAGAAATCTCGGAAATGCACAGAAAAAGAGAAATTACATAAAATTAAAAAAATATTTCTCTTGTCCGTCCTTATTTCATTCTTGTTTCCTTTTCTTACGTATTATAGAGTAGTACGTGTTAAAGTAACTAAGCTTTAGAAAAATACAATTAAAGTTGTATAATATCAAATAAATAAAAAGTCACGTTGTTATTTTCATTTTGTTCAAAAAGATTAACTATTCGTTAGTGAAATTTGAAGATTATTCTGGAACAAGGCACTTGCGGGCAAGTTACGAGATATGCATATCTGTGATAAACGGCGAATTTATGTAATAAAACAAGTTTTGAAAGCGCTCCGTTGTTAAAACTCGACAAAATAACCCAAGCGAATCGACTTTTACGATTATCAAATTATATCCCAAGCGCAAAAAATTTAATTTATTGAACATTTACCGATCTTAATTATCAAACGGCTCAGTAAACTCTGTACGAATAAATCTCATTAACAAGTGATGTATGTATGGTAATGTATGAAACACTCATTGTTTAAATCCGTAATAAAGAGATTCCGAAAAAGGTCTTATACGTTACTTCAAAACTTCCTCCACGCCATTCAGAATATAAATAAAAGAACAAAAGATTCAAAAGCTGTTCTAGAATAAAATCCTTACGAATTATTCTAAAGCATGATTTAAGAATCAAACGACGACGGAATATGGTCTTGTTAAAATGAAATATTAATATTTCATGCTTTAATAAAAGAAATAACCGTGAACAATGTGAAATATTTATATAATTGCAATTTATAGCAACGCCTTTCATTGGAAATCCCGAAGTTTTGAAGTCGCTTTCTAAAGCGGAATTTTAATCTTTTCCAGTCTTTTGTGTAACGACGAACTCTTTAGTGCTTATTAATTTCATTTAACCAGTCTTATTTTTTATTTCACGAAAATATTTCTGTTGTGACTTTCGATTAATTAAAAAGTTAGGGTATATAATAATGTTATATACATATCTAACTTATAAACTACCTTCGTTTACTAAACTAATAGAAGAGTAGTTCAAATGCTTGAATTTGAAAGGTAGTTTAAAAGGTAATAAGACGTATACATACGTGACATATTTGAAAGGTATTAACTTGAGGATATTATACTTGTGTAACAAAAAAGGCCTACAATTTATACCTGCTTAAAGGAGTTGCCGCGAAAGGAAACAAAGAAGTAGAATAAAAACAATTTAGTGTTTATTTGTATGGCGTTAACAAAGTTTTTTTTATCTCAAATCCTATAATACATCGTTGGTAATGACATCGATTCCGAATTACAAACTAATATATACAATCGTGACAAACTAATTAACTTACAATTTAACAAACTAATTTACAAAGTACACTTTTACACCTACACAGGGTTTGCAATAAATAAATCACGCAGCACATTGAAAATAATGCCTATGGGCTTTTGGTCGCTTTGTGTCTAATTATCAAACTTAACAAAACCGACAGTACAAAGGTAAAGAACAAACAAACAGTCATCAGTTCACATCGACACGTTATAACTACACGGCTAGACATAGTGACAACTACGGCAAAGTAATCTCTTATTTTTTGGTACCAATCTCACTTCACACAACTGGCTGAGCGGGCTACGTCGACTAACGCGGGAAACCGCACCCATAGACCCGAGATAGAATCACAGTTCGCAAATCAACGGTTCGCCCACTAGCGGGCCTATTTATCCCAACGTATTTACAAGCCGCTCGCTACGGGCGCTCTTCCAGCTCGAATAACTGTTGTGTCTAGAAGTCAATAAATAGAGTCCGTGGACGGTGCGTCCGCAACACTGGGTCATGCCGAACCTTAAGGGGGGCCCCTCAAGGAAGGCAGGTTGGCCTTCAATATATGACGGAGACGGGCCGCCTCAGCTGGTCGTCGTGGGGGCTGTGCTGCGTCGGGGTCACTGGGGACACGGGCGACGAGGGCGCCATCCCGTACTGGTGGAACAGCGGCGAGGGGAACGGCTTCGGCGGCGCCGCCGGCGACGTGTACAGCGACGAGTAGAACGAGGAGACCACGGCGGCGGCGGAGGAGGCCGTCGGCATCTTCTCGGCGGCGGGCGCCATCAGCTTGGAGAACTGCAAGTGGTCCAGCTGGTGCGGGAAGTAGGGTGACACGGCTGGATACGACAAGTGGTCAAGCGCGCCCACCGTGGGCGCCGGGCCGGCGAAGTACGGCAGCGGGAAACTGGGGAAGGCACCGGCACCGGGCGCGCCGCCGGGCGTGGGCGGCTTCGGCTTCCTGCGCGGCCTGTACTTGTAATCTGGGTGCTCCTTCATGTGCAGCGCGCGGAGCCTCTTCGCCTCGTCTATGAACGGCCTCTTCTGCATCTCGGTGAGCAGCTTCCACTCGGCGCCGAGACGCTTAGATATCTCCGAGTTGTGCATCTTCGGGTTGTCCTTCGCGATCTGCCGCCTCTGCAGCCGCGACCACACCATGAACGCGTTCATCGGGCGCTTTATGTGGCCCTCGGACTGCGGCGAGGTGGCGGGCAGCGGCTGCGGCGCGCTCGGGTAGTCGGGCAGCATGCCGGGGTGCATGGAGAACGCGTACGGGTGGTGGCTTAGGGTGGACATGTTAACGGATCGATTTGTTGGTCGGCTCTGGCTTGAGCATCAGCTGTGACTGCGCTGAATGGGGCACTGGTGTAGAACGATTGTGTCGCGACGAGGTCGGTCGATGGACTGGCGGTAGTGTGGTGTGCGAGCGTGGGTATCGGCCGGCGGGGGGCGCGGTCTGGGGCGGCGTGGCGGCCGCCAATGGGCGCCCCGTGCGCGGAGCCTTCGCCCCTCCTCGGCTCCGCAGCCGTCTCTTTCGCACGCACAATGGGGCCCCGTAAGCCGCTCCGCAAAGCGCCGCGCGCGACACTAGTACAGCTGTTTAGGCAAGCCTCGGCTGCCCGATGCATGATATAACCGTTGTAACAGAGCGCCGTTTGTAAGTCTATTAGAGAGTACTATTGTTTTCTTATAGCTACTTACTGTTCGGGCCTTGTCCTTGGACACAGATTAACGGACATTAACAGTCACAGTCAAATTCAAAGTTAGTCAATTTTTTACTATTCAGTATGGGCTTATTTTGAGCTCTTATTGAATGCCAAAAAACTACGACCGGTTCACTAAACTAGACCTGTCCAGAAAAGAATCGGAAAGGAATTCTGCGGTCGTGTTATCTTTTTTTTTAAATATATAACCATACATAACTATTTAAGTATAAAATAGTGTCTAATAAATATTCCACGGCTCATTTCAACTATCCATAATATATTCTTAAAATTTTGTAAAGGTGAAATTATATTTCCAAATTCCGAATAAGAGTTTATTTTATACACAGACTTTACTGAACCTGTTTGTCATTACACAAATAATAAACGAAAGGAATGAATGCGAACATTTGAAGGATTAAGAATGAATTATTACGAACTCTACATATTATTCGCAAAACGTGCACAAAGAAAATATCTGTCTGTATTTTTCTTGAATGAAATTATTTAATTTACCTTCTGGAACGTTATCGTTGAATATTTCGAAGATACAATATTTTATTGAATATACTTTTATTGAAGTTATAACTTAATACTGATATTGTAATACAGATTATGTTACCATGTATTTGTACTGTACAAATATACAATAATTTCTTCATGAATGCTTTATACACATATACTAATCTTCATTTTTATGTTAAGGATAATTTAATCATAACTTCTTCATTAATATACCTTTCTTACTCTTAATTATTATACTATTTAAAGTCATATTTTTGCATTTTTAATTAATAATAATAATATCTCCACTAAAAAAATATAAACAAACAACTTAAATTATATGATATACAATTATTCGACTTTCGAGATGTCTATAATTTGTCTCACCATATAAAACTTGTAATCTTTATTAAAAAAAATATCTTCTGTATGTTTGTGTCCACAAAACACTAAACCTAACAGATGGATTGATTTTATATTTGTTCAGAATGTTTTTATATAATATTGTTTATTCTGAAGTTTCAACGGAAACGAAAAAAGAAAACCCCAGTGAAGCGTGGCCGGATTCAGGTAATAAAAAATAACAGCTAATAAATTAATATTATATAAAATTAAACAACGGATACTCAGTAATTTTAAAAGGTATAAAAATATTATTGTAAGACATTGTTTGACCGTTGTTTCCATTCACTTCTTAAACTCTCTTTTTAATGCAGCCCCCACGGTTATCGAAGTCGGTACCGCTACGTGCTGAGGAATTTCAGATTGCTATTCATATACCTATGGCTTTTTATGTATTTCTCTTGGCAATGCAAAAGCCAGATAAAAGGAAAATTTATTAAGCATAATTTTTAAATTATATTGATAATTAGCTTCGCTTTAAATAGGGAGAAGTCTCTGACAGAGACAAAGAAAGAACCTCTTATATGTTCGTACATAATATGCATTTCAGAAAGTTTAAACGACTGCCGACTAAATATTGTCGACGTTTCGCAGTTCTTGTAGCAGATTGTAAGAAATGCGACTCCTAGCGCCATCTATTATCGATTGCTTGCGACTTGCGATCTGTGTGTTTGTAATAAATCCTTTCGTCTTTCTTATAATGATGTTTTTATAGCCACTTTTAAAGAATTTTAAAGAGATGACGAAACACTCATATGGAAATTTTTTGAACGTTCAGGTGCGTCAATTTTACATCAAATTCTTTGGTTTAATAATCTTTGTATAACAAATTTTTACGTTTGCTTTACGATGAAGGCTATTTATAAATTCTTACAATATTAAAACTTAAAGATAGCTAAATTATATGCGACTGGCCGTTCATATTAATAATTAAGAAAAACGACAATCTGCATAATTATAAAGTAGATCTAATATTGGCGATCAAGCAAGTTATATTATATCCAATATTCTGTTTATATAATTTAACTACTCAAAATTAATAAATAATAATTAAAATTAATAAATATGAAATATTGAAAGCTGTTAAAATATACGTAGTGAATATCATCACATATTTAAAAAAATGTGAAAATTAAAACTAGCGCAACAGTTTTCACCGCCGCGGCTGCGCTGTTCAGAAATCATAATTGTTAAGGCGCTTATCGACCGACAATATATATTATAACGCATTTTGGTGCATAATGGAGCTTTGTTTTTCCTTTACGACTTCGGAACTGACAATTGTCGGATTAATTAGACGACAATGGGCCCGAAACGTTTCGGAGCTGGCGTCCGTTGCAGCTTTTGTGTTTGCTTTCCAGAACAGTTTGCGGACGATCACAATGGCGTTTAGTAACGGGATGACCGTCGTTAAAAATATTAGAAAAACAATCATAAAGTGCCTCACGACATTATGCCGGCGCACGCTACGACCGAGATACTTATAAACATACTAATGACGTGCGAAAATACACTCTATTTGGTTGGTAACAAGGTGTGGATTGGCGGGGGCCAGTGTTCCGCAAATTCCCGCGCTTTTGTCCCATTGTTGTTCAGCATCGTTTCTTAGAAGCGAAACAGCTTTTGCCGAGTGTAGTAAAATAATTATTCCTCTCTCCAATGCTGCTATATTTCTCGTTAATGTTTTATTGCTGCGCGAGTTTGTTCGCCGCTAGGAACGCCATTGTCTACTCTCTTCATTGCCGTTGTATAGTTATCGAAAATAATTTCATTTCAACTCGAAAGGTTACAGCTGTTTGTCGTTCGAAAAAGGTGTTATTGAAGTATCGATCAAATATTAATTGTTTATATAGTTAGAAATCTAAAATATTTGTTAAAATTGTAACCCTAATAAATTTTATTAACAAAACTTATAATACCTGTATTAATTAGACATTAATAAGGCGTATTCTTATAGTCATAAACATGACTAATGTCTTAATTTTATTTTTAAGCTTGTCGTATTCTCATGCTCCTCAAGATTATTACTATATTTCCGTGAAATGTTATTTTAGTTTTGCATTCTAAAATTATATAAGTTATAAACTTTGTCAATGTTCAACACTGTAAAACTATAAAAACCATTTCAAAGTTGAACAACAGTGCGCGTGGCAGAACAAGGGTGTGGTCTTGCGCCCGATCATTCTGTTCTCTTGTATCGCGACGAGAATACATTTTATTTTATACGTATTAGGCCTTTACCCGATAAAGATATTGTAGGCCAACCTGTGCTCTTATAATAAGTTTACAGTGATTATAAATTTCCGACGTAAAGTGCTACACTCTTTAATCGGTTTAGTTGTACCCGTTATCTGAATAGCACATCGTTTTTCTTACATGTTTTTTTTTTCTTTCGTTCGGTGCTTTAGATACATGCGTGGATAATGTTTATCGCACATAATAAAAAAATATAAATCAAATCAAAAATAGAAAACATATTGTGTCATATCAGTGCTTGATGCAGACAACTAACTATATTCAGACTAAGTTCTAGAAAATGGCATATCTATATGCAGCTCTAAATTGGTACGATTTGGGTGAATTTGAAAAAAAAAAAAAAACGTTTGCATATTTACACATATATACGTATTTTAAACGTAATTTGTTTATTGGACATCAACATCGACATACTATGTCCGCCGTACTCGTAAAATTTTGGGATAACTGTCCATTGTTTACTATATAAAGCGTTTTTAAGGGTAATAAAAATTTAACTAAAGAAGATATGGGCGCGATTTCTACCTGGCAGTTATACTGCGCTCGTGCCATTATGGTCTGCGTAAATTTAGTGTTTAGTAGGGCCTGAGATCTCTTATGTACATTAAAGTTAAAAAAATGCGCATTAGACAGAGACAAAAATAGTACCTAACGCTTCCGTAGAACCTAAGAGAAGCAATGAGTTAACCAAAAGTCTAACTTCTGGTAAAGGTTGACGTAGATGTCGCTTTTTTATGGTATTTAATTTAGCTATCCAACGGTTTCAGCAAATTCAGAACAACGCTTGAGTTGCCGATATAAGCCGATTTTTTTTATTGATCGATCTTTCCGTCCGCAGACTATAAAGCTTCATCGGGCACAGTTTCTTCTTCTTCCCTTCTTCTTCGTTCAGTTAACGTGAAAAGTCAGAGTTCTCATGCGCTTAACAGACCTTGCCGAAACAAAGTGAACATGTTGTCTGTTATACAAAATGTGGGCATTATCAGCTACGGGCTGTCTAGGCGTCAAAGTACAGCATTATAAAAAGTACTTACTACCCAACCCCGTCCACACAAATACAAATATAATCCTGTAAGCGTAGATTGGAGAGTAACTCAGTTTTTAATTCGTCTGTTTTAACATGCGAATATTTGTAGGTACAAAGTCTGGCCGCTATACAGTTACTTATGTACACATGCGCGCATTAAAAAAAAGACGCTAATTAAAAAAAACCCTCGCGAACGCAGAAATACATTCGAAATCACAGCCAGCATTTGTCCTCTCCTCCCAGACAAAAGCATTAATAACTATGAGGCCTCCTAACTAGTATATAAAAATGCGGTATTTTTTTAAAGGCCCTGAAAAGAAACTCGCACCTAATTACTTACTTCGCGACCGCAACAATACGGCCGGGGCCTCTAGCGGCGACAATGTGACCCGTCACTAATGTCGCCCCCTCCCGCTCGGAACGCTTACGAGCGAGCGGGACGCAGCGACGGGGAGCTAGTTAGTTTTTCACCCAGCGCGCAATGGCGACAATACCGCGCCGCAGCCTTATTCGCCCTATCTTCCTATTTTAATTTACTCAAATTTCCCTTGACACCTCACCCGACATACCATTAAGGAATTTCATGTGGCCGGCTGCATGGGATCGAGTTGACATCGGTTAAAAAATAACGACACGTCAATTTTTTCTTTTTTTTTTATGGAGATAAGGGGCATACGAGCAGGAGGCTCACCTGATGGTAAGTGACCACCACCGCCCATGGACACCTGCAACACCA